CAGCAGCTTTCATTCATCACATAAGACCATCCACATTTGAGATCTCTAAATAAAAAAATATTAAAAACACATTCTCTCTTTCTTTTACTTAATTTTATACCTTTTTCATCTTTTTACTCAATTTTTATTAATTTTATATTTAAACACTCTAACTTTCATCCATTCTCTCTCCAACTTTGTCTTCCCCGAGACATCCTTTCTCCAATAATACCCACTATCTCATATCTTTACTCAAATTTTATTAATTTTATATTTCAATACACCCCATTATTTCAACCAAAAATACTATCTTTCTTCCTTTTACTCAACTTTTAATAATTTTATATTTAAAGACACCTACAAAAGTCTCCAATGCAGATGCTCTAAAAGTTTTAATAATTTTTGTCTCCATCCGAAATTATGCCCTTTAATAGATTCTTAAATCGATTTTCTGACGACAAATACCCATCAATATTATTCAAAGCTATTGTGACATGGGTAACGTAGTTCCATTTACTTTAGTATATGTTTTCTAATTTAAAAATATACTTTCTAAAGATGAGTTGGTCAAAGTATAGTAATAACTCGTCTCGAAGTGCTTCGAAAGTGGACATTTCAAATGCTTGTGATATGACCTTGTGAAAATTTGTTGAAACTTTTCTCATCTCATTTTCATGGATTGTTTTCTATTTACGCTATTCAATTCATATTTTATTAGTTTAAAAAAAAAAATTCATATTTCATTGACTATTTTATATATTATTGCCATAAATGGTAAATTATCAAGATAATTGTATGCATCTGATTGGTACAACAATTGGAAGAAGACAAATTATTCTCATATTTTTCTGGTCCCACCACAAAATCTTGTCACCATTCGATCTGAGAAAAGAAACTAGAGTAAATTTTCCTACTCTCATTAAGAGGTGGAAAAATTTCTTCTAAAAAAAGAAAGCATGTGACTAAAAGAAATATGTAGTGGGTCCAGAATATTCGAGAGTTTATAGACATGTGACCAATAACGTTTTTTTTTTTTGTTTTAATGTACTTCTAGAGGATAGGAGATTTCCGGGCTGACGATTTATTTCTCCCTAAAAACAAATTTATAATTTCAGATCTACATAGTTTTGAGACCCCAATGTC